CCTCTGCCCCTCCCCCTGCTCATGCTCTCTCTGTCTTTCTCTCAAATAAATAAATAAATAAATAAAATCTTAAAAAAAGAAATACAGGGTCACCTGGGTGGCTCAGTCAGTTAAGCACCTGCCTTCGGCTGAGGTTATAGTCCCAAGTTCCTGGGATTGAGCCCCATGTTAGGCTCCCTGCTCAGCAAGGAGCCTGCTTCTCCCTCTCCCTGGCTCGCTCGCTCTCTCTCTCTCGATAATTCTCTCTCTCAAATAAATAAATCAAATCTCTTAAAAAATACAGGTCCGGTGGACCCTTCACCTAGTTTATTTTTTAAGAGTTTTGTATATTGATGTTCTATCCTAAAACCTCGCTGAACTGGTTGTTCTAATAAGGGTGTGTGTGTGTCTAGTCTTCTTAGTGTTTTCTATATACAAGATTATGTCATCTGCAAATAGAGATAATTTGTACTCCTTCCGGTCCAATCAGGATGCCTTTTATTTATTTATCTTGACTGACTGCCTTGGCTCAAATCTCCTCCAGTATGGTGTTGAATAGAAGTGGTGGGAGTGAGTATCCTGTCTTACTTTTAATTTTGCATTTAATTGTAGTACCAAGTACCTTGATTATGTTTGAGTTACAAAGGTATGTTAAAGAAAAGATTAGAGACACCTGAGTGGCTCAGTTAAGCATCCAACTCTTGATTTCAGCTCTGGTCATGATCTCAGAGTCATGAGACTGAGAGCCCTGTGTCATGTTCTGCACTCGTCAGGGAGTCTGCCTGAGAGTCTCTCTCTCTCCCTCTGCCCCTCCCTCCACTCTCTCTCTCTGTCCTCTAAAATAAATAAGTAAATCTTATTGTTAATTTTATTTTTTTTTTAATATTTTCTTTATTTGAGGGAAAGAGAGCAAGAGAGTACGAGCAGGGGGAGGGGCAGAGGGAGATGGAGAGGGACAAGCAGACTCCTTGCTGAGCACAGAGCCCGACTCATACTCAGGGCTTGATCCCAGGACCCTGAGATCATGACCTGAGCTAAAGTCAGATGCTTAACCGACTTACCCACCCAGGCGCCCCATAAATAAATAAATCTTTTTTTTTTAAGATTTTTTATTTATTTATTTGAAAGAGAGAGACACAGCGAGAGAGGGAACACAAGCAGGGGGAGAGGGGAGGGAGAAGCGGGCTCCCTGCTCTGCGGGGCTCGATCCCAGGACCCCGGGATCATGACCTGAGCTGAAGGCAGACGCGTAACCGACTGAGCCACCCAGGCACCCCTGCGTGAGAGAGTGAGTGAGAGGGAGGGGCAGAGGGAGAGAGAGAGACTCTCAGGCAGACTCCCTGACGAGTGCAGAACATGACACAGGGCTCTCAGTCTCATGACTCTGAGATCATGACCAGAGCTGAAATCAAGAGTTGGATGCTTAACTGAGCCACTCAGGTGTCTCTAATCTTTTCTTTAACATACCTTTGTAACTCAAACATAATCAAGGTACTTGGTACTACAATTAAATGCAAAATTAAAAGTAAGACAGGATACTCACTCCCACCACTTCTATTCACCCCTAAATAAATAAATCTTTAAAAAAAAAGATTCTTGGGCACCTGGGTGGCTTAGTCGGTTAAGCGTCTGTCTTCAGCTCAGGTCATGATCCCAGGGTCCTGGGATCAAGCCCCGCATCGGGCTCCCTGGGAGCCCGCTTCTCCCTCTCCCTCTGCCTGCCACTCCCCCTGCTTTTGATCTCTCTCTCTCTCTCTGTCCAAATAAGTAAATAAAATCTTAAAAAAAAAAAAAAAAGATTCTCTCTCTCCCTGTGCCCTCCCTCCTGCTTGTGCACGCTTTCTCTCTAAAAAAAAGAAAGAAAGAAAGAAAAAGAAAATATGAAATACAGATTAAATGGGGAGAGGTTCATGGAGTGTGGATGGACCCAACTAGCCATGACCAGTTGGCTGGACAATGAGAGGCACATCAGGTTCCATATTCTTCTATCTACTTTGTACCTTTGAAAGTCACATCATAGAAAATGAAAAAAAGTAAAATAAGGAATATGTAGAGCCAGAAAGAAAGAACTAAGGAAATAAAGACAATAGTAAGGGAAATAGAAGGTCCATTGAGGACTTGGAACCCCAGGCAGGAATGCAGGGGCCCTGCGGCTGCGACCATCCAGGTCGAAACACTCTCCCCAGCTGGGCCATACCCATGCCCAGTCGCTCCGCCCCATGGTGCCCACAGGCCTTTGGGCTAAGACTGGTTGTATCTGTTAAGTCTCTTTTAACCTAGAGCTGTTTTTTTATTTTATTTATTTAATTGAGAGAGAGACAGCGTGAGAGGGAACACAAGCAGGGGGAGTGGGAGAGGGAGAAGCAGGCTTCCCGTGGAGCAGGGAGCCCGACGTGGGGCTTGATCCCAGGATCCTGGGATCATGACCTGAGCCGAAGGCAGTCGCCTAACCAACTGAGCCACCTAGGCGCCCCTAGAGCTGTTTTGTTTTAATGGCACTGATTTGGGGAAGAGGCCAGGCCAAATATCCTGCAGAATCTTCTGGATTTGTTTGGCTGCTTCCTCAAAGTGTTGTTTAGCTTGTCCCTCTACCCCCCTCCCCTGTATTTCCTATTAAGCAGATTTACCAGGACAGTATCCTGTTTTTGGATATTTAGGCTATGTTCAAATTTTCCATAACTACAGTCTTGCAAAGAACGTTCTTGTACGTTTCTCCATTTTTTTTTCTTTTGAGAAAGAGCAAGAGAGAGTGCGTGCATGCACGCAAGCTGGTGGGAGGTGGAAGGGGAGAGAATCTAGAATCTTTTTTTTAAGATTTTATTTATTTATTTGACAGAGAGAGAGATACCGAGAACAGGAACACAAGCAGGGGGAGAGGGAGAGGGAGAAGCAGGCTTCCCGCCGAGCAGGGAGTCCGACTCTGGGCTCGATCCCAGGACCCTGGGATCATGACCTGAGCTGAAGGCAGACGCCTAATGACTGAGCCCCCCCAGGCGCCCCATGTAGGTTTCTCATTGTGCAGGTGGGTAAGACTTTCTCCAGCACCAACCAAGAAGGGGAAGTTCTTCATCAGATACACCAAATTGCTCCCTGGAGTGACTGTATTGGTTCACACTCCCACCAGGGGTACATGAGAGTCAAGTACCCCTTTGTCAGACTCCAGCAAATGTGGTCATGACTGTGACCACATGACTGTGGTCAGACTTAAATTTCTGCCATTCTGATGGATATAAAATGTCCCTCCTTGTGCTTGGTTCCCCTTTTGTGATCACCAGGCATCTTCTGACACTTCTGCTGAACTTTCACGCTAAGGGAGGACATGGAGCCAGAAAAATCCAGAGGATGCAGGGAACTTGCAAAACAACATAATTTTCTATATCCACAACGAATGGAATTCATATACTGAGTGTTTTATTGGTTTCATACATTCAGCTATTTTTATTGGTTTCATCCATTCAACTATTTTTTTTTTTTATTTTATTATTTTTTAAAGATTTTATTTATTTATTTGACAGACAGAGAGAGAGAGAGAACACAAGCAGGGGGAGCAGCAGGCAGAGGGAAAAGGAGAAGCAGGCTTCCCGCTGAGCAGGGAAGCCTGCGGGGCTCGATCCCAGGCTCTGGGATCACAACCTGAGCCAGAGGCAGACGCTTAACTGACTGAGCCACACCAGGCGTCCCTCAACTATTTTTAAAAGCAGACAGCTGAGATGCATGCACGGTTTGCTGCCCCTCATGACCCCCTGGAGCCATACCACAAGCCCCTGGGTCGACCCCCTGGATAGATTCTAAGTGCCTCACAGCCCACCGCCCCATTGCTGCAGGAAGCAGCAAGAGGGGTGGGTCATCATCCCATAGGGTTACTATTCCAGGGGGAGGAATGAGTAAGGGACGGGTGGGGCTAGGTAGAGAGAGATAGGGGGCTATGTGATCAGGCTCACAGAAGTCCCAAAAATGTGGAGGTGTGGGGAAACCGGAGACAAGGGGACAAATCGGACCACCCTGCCCTAGGCATGTGGGGTGGGTCCCGTGGGGTGGGTGTCTTTATGATAATCACCTGTGACCAACAAGAATAACCAGACCCTAAGAAGGAAGTAAGCCATTGAAGGTCTTATCAATAGAGATGTTAAAAGGATTTAAGTTCCCTGGTTAGCTTTCTATAAAAGACCAACCCTAAAGGCCCTCCTTGCTGGCACCTGTCAGGACCCCTCTCACTCCTGAGAGCTTTTTCTGTACCCTTGCTTAATAAACTTCTATTGCTTTACACACACACACACACACACACACAGCAGGCAGCTGAGAAGCATTCGGCTGGCTCAGTCAGTGGAGCCTGCGACTCGACGTTGGGGTTGGAAGTTCGAGCCCCATGTTGTGGGTAGAGATTACTTTAAAAAAGTAAAAGAGGGGCACCTGGGTGGCTCAGTCAGTCAAGGGCCTCTTGATCTCAGCTGAGGTCTTGAACTCAGGGCTATGAGTTCAAGCCCCACGTTGAACTACTTAAAAAAAAAAAGAAAAGAAAAAGAAAATCTTAAAAAAAAAAAGTGGGTAGATGATTTATCCTTTTTTTTAAATTCTGATTTTGTTATTTTTTAAATCTCGAATTTAAAAAAAAGGAAGACTGTTGCTTTTGGGACTACACGTGAAGCTCTAGAACGTCACTGGTCAAGTGTAGAGGCCTTAAAGAACTTTCCTAAGAAGCTAATGCATGTTCCAAGCAGACAGATGCACTTGGCAGACCATATGCTCAGCTCGTTGGCTCTGCAACAGCATCCTGGAATCTTCGTTCAGAGTCTGATGTGCTATTAATACACTGTGACTCACTTAGAGCTCTGCTTCCTGGAATGTTCTTCCCAGGGAGGTGAAGCGATGTTCCTTCCTATAGAAGAATCATCTGAAATCATACTTTCAAAGGTTTCAGTAGATCTTGAAGGCTTAGCAAAGAGAATAAAAGCTTCCTAAATTATAGAAAATTATGTAAACAAATGGCCATCTACCCAGAAACGGGGAGAGGCCAGCCGTACCTGCCAGTTACTCAGTCACAAATGTCCGGTGCGCTGGGCTGGTGGGAGCCACGCTGGGCACGCGCCTTCCTTCGTGGGCAGAGTGGCCATGAACTAATCGTTGAGGGGAAAGGGTGCAAGGAGCCTGTGGCCGGGGCTTTTCTGAAGCATGCGACCCGTCCTTGGGGCTGGGCAATGGGATTTGACCTGGTGCAGAAGGGCATGAAGACCATTTTGGGCAGGTTATTGCTCAATATGGACAGGGTTTCTCTTTGGGATATGAAAACGGTTTCGCAATAGATGGTGGTGATGGTTGCACAACATTTTGAATGTAGTTAGTGCCACTGAATTGTACGCTTAAAATGGGCAATTGTACGTTATGTACATTTTACCACAATTGAAAAACAAGACAAGGGATGCCTGTGGGGCTCAGTCGGTTGGGTGTCTGTCTGCCTTCAGCTCAGGTCATGATCCCGGGGTCCTGGGATCGAGCCCTGCATCGGGCTCTCTGCTCAGCGGGGAGTCTGTTTCTCCTTCTGCCGCTCCCCCTACTTGTGCTCTCTCTCTGACAAATAAATAAAATCTTTAAATAAATATTAAAAATAACAGCTTTATTGGGGCGCCTGGGTGCCTCAGTCGTTAAGTGTCTGCCTTCGGCTCAGGTCATGATCCTGGGGTCCTGGGGTCGAGCCCCCCATCGGGCTCCCTGCTCAGCGGGAAGCCTGCTTCTCCCTCTCCCTCTGCCTGCCGCTCCCCCTGCTTGTGTTCCCTCTCTCACTGTGTCTCTGTCAAATAAATAAATAAAATCTTTTAAATAAATAAATGGGATCATACAATACACCCGTGGCCTTTTGTGACTGGGTTCTTTCACTTAGCATGTTGCCCAGTTTTGTTCCCAGTGTGGCATGAATTGGTACTTCTTATGTACCTTTTTATGACAAGAATACAGTATTTGGAATAATACTCCACTGTATGGATCACTACGTTCGGTTTATCTGTACCCCTGTTGATGGACATGTGGTTTGTTCCCACCTTTTGGCTTTTGTGACAAACACCATGGAAGTGTGTGTGTGCGTCTTTGTGGACGTGTTCTTGTCTCCTGGGTAGACATCGGACCCGACAGTAGGTCTCTGTTTAATTTTCTGAGCAATTGCCAGACTGCTTCCCAGAACGGCTCGGCTCCACATTCCCAGCAGCCGTGTAGGAAGTCCCAGTTCCTGCACATCCTCACCAACACTTCTTAGTCTCTCTCCCTCTACTTCTGCATGTGTTTAGGGCATCCCAAAATAAAAGTTAGAAAAAATAGAAGAAAGTAGAAACGGAGAGTGTTTGTAAACCGAAGTGCTTTGGCCAATCTATTAACAAAGACTTGATAGGCTGCCACATGCCAGACGCTGTCCTGCGTATCTGGGAGAAACGTCTGTAACCCAAACTCACGCCCAGGCGGGTCAGCGCTTCCTGAGCCGCCACCTTGGGAGGCAGAGCAGAGCCTGGAGCTTCCATCGCACTCAGTCCCCAGCCTGGGCGCTGCAGGGGGGACGCCCCGCGGGGAGTTGGCGCACTCTCACCTCCGACGGGCCTTCCTCGGCGCCGGAGGCCCCGTGTGCCACCCTCTGCAGCTGGGACAGGGTGCGCCAGCATGGAAGGGGCCACCTGGCTTGAAGACGAGACAACACCAATGTGGTGGAAGTGCTTACCAGTTCCTGGTGGGAAAGACATGCCTCAGGAAGTGGGCACGGGCCCCGCTCCTTTGCGGGGGCTGCCCGCCGGCTACCGCCTTCCCACCAGCTGCGCTGCCAGCCAGAGTCTCCGTCCGGTCCCGGGCCTCGGCCGGGGCTAATGGCCAGCGTCCAGGGCACAGTTAGCCACGGTCACCCTCCAGCTCTCTCGGCACTCAGCCTGTGCGCCGGTCCCTTCCCCAGGCTGAGGGTCCAGGCTCTCAAGCCTGGCGAGGCACACGGTCCCTTGTCCCCTCTCCTCTTTGTTGCCATCAGGTCAGCTTTCTGTCAGCAGTGAGCGCCTTCTAGAAGCTTCTGCAGGCCCCGCCCCGCCAGCAGAGCCCCTCCTTGCTGTCGTGTCTTCTGCGATGATGCTGGTCCATCCGTGGGGCACACGCAGCTGCACCGGGCTAGTGCTCGGTGGCTGTTCCCGGCACACTTGGTTGACTGCATGCGAGGCGCTACTAAAAATTGAGAAGGCTGAAGATGAGAGCAGAGGCGGTGGAGGGGGACTTCCGGGACGACAGGCGGCTCAGGCTGGGGCTCCATTACCCCCCAGGACTGTGTGGTAGAAGCGAGCCCGGGTGAGGGCAGCTCGCAGGACTGGCGGGAAAGGTCCTAGAGGCGGAGGGTCCGGGCGAGGAAAAGCTGCGTCTCGGAGCGCTTGTTCCCCGCCAGGCCCCTGTGAAGCCCACTACCTAGGAAGCGCCAGGACGCTTCTCTCAGGCATCATGGATTCTAACTGACAAACGAGGTCCCAGGCGTGAGAAGTCCAGAGACTTGCTTGAGGTCACTTTTGGCCATTAGACTGCCTTCCGTAATTTTTTTAAGCTTATTTTTTTTAGCAATCTCTACACCCAGTGTGGGGCTTGAACTCAAGACCCCGAGATCAAGAGTCACTTGCTCTTCCAACTGAGCCAGCCAAGCGCCCCCCATACTTGTTTTCATTTGCTATTTAAGTAAAACATACCATTAAAATCCACCCATTTTGGGGGCGCCTGGGTGGCTCCGTCATTAAGCATCTGCCTTCGGCTCAGGTCATGATCCCGGGGTTCTGGGATCGAGCCCCGCGTCGGGCTCCCTGCTCCATGGGAAGCCTGCTTCTCCCTCTCCCTCTGCTCCTCCCCCATTTTGTGCACTAATAAAATCTTAATTTTTTAAAGAAACTTTTTCTTTAAAGATTTTTTTTGTAAAAGAGTCGGGCTCCCTCTCCCTCCTGCTTGTGCTCTCTCAAAAAAATATAAAAAAAAGATTGGGTGCCTGGGTGGCTCAGTTGGTTAAGCGACTGCCTTCGGCTCAGGTCATGATCCTGGAGTCTCTGGATCGAGTCCCACGTCGGGCTCCCTGCTCAGCGGGGAGTCTGCCTCTCTCTCTGACCCTCCCCCCCTCATGCTCTATCTCATTCTCTCTCTCAAATAAAATCTTTAAAAAATATATATATATAAAAAAAATATTTGAGAGAGCGAGCAAGCTGGGGTGGCAGGCAGCAGCAGAGGGAAAGGGGCAGAATCTCAAGCAGACTCCCCCTTGAGCCCGATTTGGCACTTGATGTCACGACCGAGATCATGACCTAAGCCGAAATAAAGAGTCATACACAACCGACTGAGCCACCCAGGCACCCCTGAAGCTTTAAACATTTAACAATTGTTTGATGTTGACCTAAGTTCAGTTGGTTTTTGCATACGGATTTTAGGACTTTGCTACATTCACGTCTTGTTCGCATTCCATTTTTGTTGCTTCCTTGCTGGTTGCCTACAACCCTGTAACCCGGGACCAGCCTTCACCTCTTCCAGTCTGTCCCTCCTCGGCGGAGCCGTGAAGCAACACTGGATTTTGAGTCCACCATGTTCTTGCGTCAGCTGGCTCCTCACCCTCTGTGCGGAGCATCCATCTTCTTCGTGGTCCGGGTTCCAAACAGGGTCACTGGGTGGTGCTTCCAGATCCACAGAACACCTTTGCCTCAAGTAACTCAGGTGGGAGATCACGTACAGAGGTCCTCTGTGGATCCTGCGTCTAATGCCATCTTCAGCATTCTTACTCGACTCAGGAAACACGTTAGAAAACTTCCCTTTTGCCCTTCTTGGCATTCTTTTTAGTGTGAAAACCTCACACTTCCTCCCAGCTGGTAACATCTTTCACTAAGCAGCAAAACACCAGAAAGCCTGGGTTTTGGAGGTAAATCTGGAATCAAGTATGGACGCCTCAACGTAAGCAATCCCTGCTTGTCTGAGGCCAGAAACTTCTCAGAAGATTAAATATGATTACCATTCAGGAGGCAGGCAGCAGCTGCAAGGGCGCCAGGGGACCAACCTTCCCCAGGACATGCAACTCCTTCTCTCCCAGCCCTTCCCCTAGGTTAGCCATGGTCATTGTACGTGACCTTAGCCTCCAAACCCCGTATGGACCTGCTACCACCACCCTCTTGCTACAAACACTCAATTTTAGGGCTGGCCATTGCTGCCCCAGCTCCCACAGGGGAAGCCTACCCACTCGGCCGGTTCCCGTTTAAGACCGGAGCTCACCTTCTCCCTCTTGTGGCTCACAGGGTCTGCAACCACCCCTCTGTGCATCTTGCCAGAGGCTCAGTAAAGAACCAGAGAGTAAAAGGATTTCAGGTGGGATGACAGTAAGTAGATTTGGTAAAGAACTCAGATATTCCTAAGGCCGAGGTATTAAGGAACTATACTTAGGACATTAAGCAGGTTTTACAAATACTACAAAATAGCAGTTTGGACATGAAAATCCTAAGGAGACAGGAACGGTCCGTGAGGAAACGGCACACAGCATACAGAGAATGCATGCTCATGATGTTCCCATTTTCTCCCATGTGCTCTAGATCACGCTCCCCGCCCCCCCACAGCTGCCACCTCCGCGTGCACGGCCAAGGTCATGAAGACCTCAGGCCGCCAAAGGTAACCACGTCCCTCTTTCCTGAAATCTCCTCATAGTCAACACGTGTGCATACCTCAAGTTCTTACATTCAGGCCTGCCCTGTCACCTGAACTCCCGCATTCCCCCCAAAGAAAACATTTTCACAGAACTGGTTTTTTTTAATTTGTATTTGTTACAACCTTTTAAAGCAGAATGTGACTTGAGCACTACATTTCCACTCACAGAACTTGCTGAGTTACTTCTTGAACAGCTTTACCACATGCCTAAAGAGGCTTAGAATTTCGCTACTCTAAACAATGCTCTTCTTTGGAAAACAAGCCCTATACGTGGTTACTCCCATCCAGTTGGTTCAGTTTAACTACTAGTTTCTAGGGGCCTCGTACATGCAGTTGATAACTACAGGGGATAGAAGATTTAAAAAGTAGATCCTAGACGGTGAGAGTCGTTTTAACCAACAGTTCTCTTTTAAACATCAAGGTATAGCTCAGAACACTTCAGTGACAAAAAAAATTTGGTCTTACTAAGGAATCCGCTTGGTAGCTAAACACTTTAGAGCACACGGTTCACGTTAGAGGTTACATACACCTTAAAACAAATGTTACCTTGTCCGGTTACAAGCCAGCATGGAACCGGGGAAGAAAAACTAGCTGGGCTTTAGGTCCTACACGTCACAGTAGCACACTCCGAAAAGAAAGAAATCTTATCTTCCCCTTAAGTAGTTACTGTCATGCCATACAGATTCTTAAAAGGTTAACAAAAATAAAGAAAAACATCCTTGAAAATATATTATCAGAGGGAATGAAGATAAAGTATCGAATACATGTACAAGTAATGCTCGGCGGCGCTTAGTCGACTTCCTCCATGCGGGACGTGTCGTCGTCACCCTCGAGGGGCGGCATCTCTTCGCTCACCGCGGCGCTGCCATCGTCAGCCGTGGGGTCGTCTTCATCAATACCTATTTGGAAAGAAAACCCTCGCGCTAGATTTCTCGAAGCCAGCTAATAATTAGCCCAATATGGCTGGTCTCTCCCACTTGTAGGCAGAGCGGCAGGCAGAGGCAGGCTCCGCACTGAGCAGGGAGCCCGACGCGGGGCTCGATCCCAGGACCCCGGGATCATGACCTGAGCCGAAGGCAGACGCTTAACCGACTGAGCCACCCAGGCACCCCATCTACCCACTTTAAAGGCTAAACACTGACCTGGTGAATATAGCGCTTTCACTTTTTTTTAGCCTTTCTGATCAAAAGGCCTATTGAGCTTAAAAAAAGGGCCTTTAAGAGGTTACCCAAACTGGATGTGACACCCCCAGTGTTGCTCAGGTGGCTGAAGGTCACGTCACACCTGTTGCACACATTTGGGCTCTTTCACCACCCCCACGGTGTCGTAGGAAGCTTACCGAGACCAAGCTTGATCATCCTGTAGATCCGGTTAGCATGTGTCTGGGGATCTTCCAGACTGAAACCAGAGGACAGGAGAGCAGTTTCGTAGAGCAGGATGACCAGATCTTTCACAGACTTGTCGTTCTTGTCAGCCTCTGCTTTCTGCCGTAAGGTCTCAATGATGGAGTGGTCGGGGTTTATCTCCAGGTGCTTCTTCGCGGCCATGTAGCCCATGGTGGAGTTGTCTCTCAAGGCCTGGGCCTTCATGATCCTCTCCATATTTGCCGTCCAGCCATACGTGCTTGTGACAATGCAGCATGGGGAGGTCACCAGTCGGTTTGACACGACCACCTGGAATCAAAGCACGACATGAGCGATGCACCTAAGAAAAAGTGTTATTCTAACTTTTCACTACTATCAGCTTTATTGTAAAATGAAACCTAAGGACTCCCGAGTACTTTCTATTCATAATCCAATACCACCTGCAAATTTAAGTATTCAGAACTTTTTTCCTGTACATCCTAACACTCTCCAGGGTCTTCAAGGATCTTAAGTTTCCTCTCACTATATAGGAAATCCTAGTTTTCTATTTGTAAGTTCAGAAAACAGAAGGGGACAAAGAGCCTATGAAGGACAAGCTTGGAAAACACCTACAGGCCCTCTAGAAAGCAGCCCACCAGCAGGAGAGCGAGGCAGACAGAAGCACTGTTCTCACGCACCTTTTCTACTTTTTTCTCCAAGATGTCCTTCATGATCTTGCACAGGTTTTCAAACTTTGTTTTTTTCTCTTCCTGTTTCTTTTTCTCTTCTTCATCTTCTGGAAGTTCCAAGCCCTCTTTGGTAACAGACACTAACGTCTTCCCCTCAAATTCCTTCAGCTGTTGCACACAGTACTCATCAATGGGCTCGATCATATAGATCACTTCCAAGCCATGCTTCCGAAGACGCTCCACGAAGGCCGAGTTCGCTACCTGATCCTTGGTCTCACCTGAGGCGTTGGTAGAAAGTTACAGACCTTAAACAGGAAGGGATTTCATTTCCTTTTGACTTTTGCTAAGTCCAGCCAGATCTAACCACAGATGTGGCCCAGCCCACGTGGTCTTGCCTAGGTCAGTCCCCACGAGCTGATGTGTAAAGCCACATGTAAAACACACACGGCTCCAGGAGGTTGTAAGAACAAGGTGACTGTACACCTGTTGTCTTACCTGTGATGTAATAGATGTGTTTCTGGTTTTCCTTCATTCTGGTGCAATAGTCCTTGAGGGAAACCATCTCATCGCCAGAAGCAGACGTATAGTATCGTAACAGCTCTGAGAGCTTCTTTCGATTCTGAGAGTCTTCATGTATTCCCAGCTGAAAGAGAACACGAGCTTTGAACTTTCTCTGAATTAAAAAAAATCATTTAAAATTTGACAAGCCACAATGACTACCACCACTAAAATCAAATGTGTTTACACCAACCTTGATGTTTTTCGAAAACTGCTCATAAAACTTCTTGTAGTTCTCTTTGTCTTCAGCCAGTTCGGTGAAGAGTTCCAAGCACTTTTTGACCAAGTTCTTTCTGATAACTTTTAAAATTTTGCTTTGCTGCAGCATCTCACGGGAAATATTTAGAGGAAGATCCTCAGAGTCCACCACACCTCTAATGAAATCTGAAAAAATAAACAAACGCACTCAAAATCATCCTAAAGATGCAGTCCACAAATACATAAACCCAAAAAACCAAAGATGATCTCCTGCCCCACAGACTCCAATCTATAGTGTGGAGATAACTACTGGCCGGGATCGAGCCTCACACCCGACCACACTTACTCAGATACTCAGGGATTAGCTCCTCGCAGTTATCCATGATGAAAACTCTGCGAACATACAACTTAATGTTGTTCTTTTTCTTTCTGTTCTCGAATAGGTCAAAGGGAGCACGTCTTGGCACAAAGAGAAGAGCTCTGAACTCCAGCTGTCCTTCCACTGAAAAATGCTGTAAGAAAGCACATGTCAAGTCATAATCAAGGGACAATGCAAGCAACTGTCACTAAAGGCTACCTCACCTGACCCCGCAAATACCTGCAGTCACAGAACTGAAAGCGCTTTTGGGGGGAGAGGACAAGGGCTGAGATGACAGAGCCCTTGGCAGCAACCCGCACCTCGACCACCTCAGACAATCTCCAGAGATATAACTGCTCGGGAAGCACTGGGCACTCACCTTCACTGCCAAGTGATCTTCCCAGTCATTGGTCAAGCTCTTATAAAATTCTCCATATTCTTCATTGGTGATATCATCAGGGTTTCTGGTCCAAATAGGCTTTGTCTTATTCAATTCTTCCTGATCAATGTACTTCTCCTTGATCTTCTTTTTCTTCTTCTTGTCACCATCCTTCTTCTCCTCCTCCTCCTCATCAGAACCAACATCTTCTATTTCAGGTTTGTCATCAGACTCCTTCTCTTCCTTTTCTTTTTCCTCCTCTTTCTCCTCCTTTTCTTCAGCCTCATCGTCGCTGACCTCTTTATCGCGTTCCTTCTCCACCTTCAAAAAAAAAAAAAAAATGCAAAATCACATCACCTCTGCATTCCTGAACTGAAGAACACCCTGAATGGAACGTACACACTTAAACCAAAGTGTAAGATACTCAAAAACGTTTAACAGGCAAAAAACTTCTAGTCAATATTTAACTTATCTACCCAAACAACTCTGGATACCTTCACAATAAAACAGAACTTCAAACTAGTCCAGTCAATTCAAGTTTGGGTCTTTCCCTCATCAATAGATCCCAGCACTAAAAACTTCAGCTCGCTAGTTTTATTATCTACACCCAACACAGACACTCACAAAGAGAGTAATGGGATAGCCAATAAACTGGGAGTGCTTCTTCACAATCTCTTTTATTCTCCTTTCCTCCAAGTACTCCGTCTGGTCTTCTTTCAGATGCAGGATAACCTTTGTTCCCCGACCCATAGGTTCACCTGTAGAGAGAAACACGTTCAACTTCAATCTGAATGGGCAAGTTAAGGTGTTGGGGGGAAAAAAGAATATCACAATTCAGCTTTCCACACCACCCCCAACCAAGTTTCTAAGCAAGTTTACCAAGTGGAGTTTACAGTTACTACTGGGGTACAGTTACTACAAAAGGAGAATCTGGGCAGTTACCTGCCTAGCTGGAGCTCAGGAACTAGAAGGCCCCACTCTTCTATCACGTGCTTACTAAGCTCGCTGCAGAATGGATCAGGGCAAGCAAATTTTTGCCAATTCCACAGCATCTTCAGGGGTCCCGGCCTACAGTACCGGGCACTCCCCACACAACCGAGTGACCTAGAAAAGCGTCTCACCAGGTGCCTACCTGTATCAGTCCTAACTGTGAACGATCCTCCTGCAGAAGACTCCCAGGCATACTGCTCATCATCGTTATGCTTGGTGATCACCGTCACTTTCTCAGCAACCAAGTAGGCAGAATAGAACCCGACACCAAACTGGCCAATCATAGAGATATCTGCGCCAGCCTGCAAAGCTTCCATGAATGCTTTGGTCCCAGACTTGGCGATAGTACCCAGGTTATTGATCAAATCGGCCTTGGTCATGCCAATGCCGGTATCCACGATGGTGAGGGTTCGGTCTTGCTTGTTCGGAATGAGGTTAATGTGCAGCTCTTTGCCAGAGTCTAGCTTACTGGGATCGGTCAAGCTCTCGTATCTGATTTTGTCCAAAGCCTATTACCAAAACACAGAGCGTCAGGGCAGCGCTCCCGGGGGAGGGGGCTCCCCCGCAGCACAGCCCCGGCCACTTACGTCCGACGAGTTGGAAATCAGCTCCCTGAGAAAGATCTCCTTGTTCGAGTAGAAGGTGTTGATGATCAGGGACATCAGCTGGGCGATCTCCGCCTGGAAGGCGAACGTCTCCACCTCCTCCTCCTCCATCGGCTGGTCTTGGGTCTGGGTTTCCTCAGGCATCTGCAAGGCCCGCGAGGCCGGTTACGTGCCGCCCCCGCGCCCGGTCCCCCGGAAGGCCCGCGCCCGCCGGGCCCCGCCGACAAAGGATGACCTCATTTCCAGCTGCGACAACGAGGGCCGTGCGCACGTCGCCGCAACCGGGCGCCACACGCCCGGGGAGACCCCCGCCCGGAGCCGGAGCCGCCCCCCCGGGCCCCCGCCCCCCGGAGCCGCGGCCGGCTGGCCAGGGGTCCCCGCGGGCCCGGGCGCACCCTCCCCTTCCCACGGGCGGGGGTCGGGGCCGCACCAGGCCCGAGGCCCCCGCCGCCGAGAGCATGGCCGCGCCGCCCCGGGGGCCCGGGACCTCCAGGGGGGCCCGCCACGCGCTCGCCGCCCTCGGCCCCCGCCGCCCCCGGCCCCCGCCGCCCCCCAGAGACCCCCCCAGCCGCCCCCTCACCTCGGCTAAAGGACCGCACAGGCTCCGCGACGACGCAGCACCAGGACGCAGAAGCAACTGGCGCGCCGCCCCCGCGCTTCCCTTATATAGACGCGGGCCCGCCCGGCGCGCGGCGCCTTTTCCAGAAGCCTCCCGAACCTTCCGGAAGAACGCTCCCCAACCGCCGCCGCGGCCGCGCGCCTGCGCCTGCGCCCTGGCCGCGGCCCCGCCCCTCTCCCGGGCGCGCGCGGGCCCGCCCCGAGAGCCCCACCCCCAACGGCCGCCGCGCGCGTCCCCGCGTCGGTCTCAGTGCGCCGGCGCAGCCCGGAACTCTCGCGAAGGTCTCGCGTCTTCCGGGGCCACCGCCCCCCGCGCGGCTCACGCCGGCGCCCCTGCCCCCACCTTGGGCCTGTACCGCTAGCGGGGCGCGCGCGGGCGCAGTGGCGCCGCCCCGCCCGGGCCTGGGCGCGTGCGCTCGTTGCTTCAGCAAGTCCGCCGAAGTAACTTAATTCTTGCAGTGTCCCCGGGCGGTATAGGCTTTGGGGCCCTTGGTACCGGGGCCTGCCGCAGCGGCGTCGGGGTCTGTACCAGTTACCGGGGCCCCGGGCCAGGTCTAGGGCTTTGAGGCCGGGTGCAGGGGCTGGAGGGGAAGAGAGGGGTCTGTCCCCGCATCTATACGCCTGGGGCAGTGATCAGAGGCTCCCGACTACGATTGGGGGTTCACACGTACAGCGCCACATCTCTTCGGCCAGGGCAGCGATTATGGTTTCAGGGCCCTGGAACTGGGGCAACAGATGGCTGCCAGAGCCTCGGGATGCGGAGGCCCTGGCTCCCAGCCTGGTTACAGGGTCCAGAGGCGCCAGCCCCTGACGGGCTGTGAGGGGTGACCAGTGCATGCACCTGGGGGAGGTAAACCCGACCCCTGGTTTTTGTCTTGACCAGAGGGACCCCCTAACCACGTGGGATGTTGGCGGTGGGGTTTTGGAACATGGGTGAGGTCTGGAGCCCACGCCCAAGAAAGAATTCTCGAGACATTTTTGGTGCAAAATGGTGGTTTATTAAAGCACGGGGACAGGACCTGTGGGCCGCTGATTATACACTGGGACTGGGGGAGGTAAGGAAAAGGGAGGTTTTCGAAAGAACTTTCGTGTGCTAAAGAAGACCTACAAGATAACTAGAGCCCCCGGCACTGTCAAGTTAAGGTTGATTTTCCTTCTAGTGAGGCATTAACATGAAGATAGTTGGAGCTTCCTGGAGGGACATTACACTCTGCCGGCTTTAAGTATCTGTTGATGGGCTGCAGGTTATAAAGACATTTAATTGTATCTACAGTTCCTTCTGGAAGCTAGGTTGCTAGAAATGCTTTGTTCTTGTAGATTGCTAAGACATTTGTAAACTGAGGGAGACTCCTGTCTTGCAGGATTGTGATCTCTGTAAGTTAACTATTTGTTTTTCCTCTCCTTAGCTTTAGGGCAGCCAGGAGAGCCTGAGGAATGTCACATAGATCCCATGGGGGGGTACTTGTGGGGTGTCAGCTTCTGCTTTGTCCTCAGCTTGCCTTCTGTTCCCTCAACATTGGGATAAGGGGAGACCCAGGGGCCTGGCCACACTCTAGGGGTCCGAAGAGATGTGGCGCTGTGCGTGTGAACCCCCAATCGTAGTCGGGAGCCTCTGATCACTGCCCCAGGCGTATAGATGCGGGGACAGACCCCTCTCTTCCGGACCCCTAGAGTACCGGTACTGAGGGTGGAATGAGGAGCGCCAGCAGGTGACCGAGGGTCATCCCTGCCTGCCCCCATTGCCAGGTAATCTCCACACATGCAGGCCCTGCTCGGATTTGGGGGCTGGTCCTTTTCTTAGGTCGCACTGTGCACAAGGGGAAGTGTTGAAATGGACACTTACAGAGGCCTGAATTCCCCAAACCTGCGCTCCATCCTTGGGGGATTTCTACCTGCTGCGCGTGTGTGTCTGTGCGTGTGTTTTAGGAGAATTTAGTGATTCGTTATTTATATGTAACACCCAGTGCTCATCACAAGTGCCCTTCCTAATACCCATCACTTCTACTTGCCTTTGGTTTGCCTTAAACTGTGTCCTTCACACTAGCCTAGAATCCCCGGATCACTGGACTAATGCGTGCTCACCCAGTACACCCACTATGACTTTGTAAAGCCCATCTTCTTTACTGCCTATTTTACGTAATTTGAGGTCTTCATGTGACGTATCTAGTTCACCCTTTGGGGGATTAAGTCGCTCCAAAAGCCAATTTCTAAACGGGAATTCCAAAAGTATTTTGAACAATGAGCCTCTCAGATGAGAGTCCTGAGAATCTCGGAGGGGAGGGGCCCGTGGCCAGCGCCCAGGTCAGCCACCAGGTAGTTCCGCGTCCGAGGACCCTCGCCTGGAGCATCGCGTGTCAACGTAAACCTAGCCCTGCCCTGGGCTCCTTTGTCGCTAGCTCCTCCCACCACTGGTCCTCCTCCAGCTCCTTCCAACACTCCAGCCTCCCCCGCCCCCCAACGGGGAACAATCTGGAAGCTTCTTACGTTGTAAACAAACCTGTCTGAACCCTCCCTCCACCCTCGTCTCCGGGGAAACCCTGCTTTTCCAGGAACGGGGTTTTCATACTGACGCTTGGGACCCATTAGGACCGTGTGAAATCAACGCAAGGCTTCTTAACTAGTATTAAAATAGGAAAAATAGAGTGGAAACTTCCAGCCACGTGGGGGAGGCGGGCGCTGTGCGTTGGCTGGGGCACCTTGTGAAATAATTTCTGCCCCCAGCTGTACGTGGGAGCTCTCGCCGGGGGTTTTCCCGGCAGCCGGGGCTGGGGGCGGGGCTGGGGGCGGGGCTGGGGGCGGAGGGAAGGAGGAGGAGGAGTCAGCGTGCTGGCTCCAGGTCCCCAGTCGGCTGTGCGGGAGCTCCTCCAGCTGCACGCCCGGGCGGCCCTCCTGCTCTCCTGACCCGGAGGCCTGGCCCACCTCTTCCTTCTACCCCACTTCTGTCAGGGCCACGCAGAGCCCCAGCTGTGAACGTCTCGGTTTCCGGAGCCTTCACCTGCCTCTGCGCCGCAGAACTTGCCCCAAGGCCTCTCCTGGCATCACGGCTTCCCAGCTGGCTCAAATGAACGTTAACAACCCTCCCTCCCACCACAACCTCCTGGCCTTCCAGCTCTCTCCTACCTGCCTTAGTTACTAAATACGAGAACTTTCTCGTCCTGCTCCCGCTTGACCTCTGGACAACGTTCCACGCTAACCAGCATTGCCTCCCTTCCATCACCAGCATTGCCTCCCTTCCATCACCAGCATGCCGTGGTTCTCCAGCCTGCTGGCGACTCCTTCTATGTCTCTGCAGACTTGCCCCTCCCCCCCCTCGGGCCTTTCTCTGGAGCCCCTGGAACCGTACCTTTGTGTGGATGATGCACAGAAAAGCCTGGGCCAGGACTCTCCTAGTGCCACACCTGGACACTGAGCTCACTGCCCCACCTACCTGGTCTTCTCCCAGGACTCACTACCCAGGTGACTCTACCACCACCGTCTAGAACCCCCGAGCATCCCCACAAGGAATCTGGCATGACCTTGCCATTTCTGCCTCCTAAATGCCTCTTGAATCCATCGGCTTCTCTCCACCTTCGAGCTCCACTTCCTGCCCCAAGTCCCTCACCCCTGTTGCCACCCCCAGCGGCTCACCTAGCCCTCCATAGCTCCCTGACTGCACCTGTCTTCACCTATGGCCAGGGTGGGCTTTGTGAACACAGATCTGATCCTGGCTGTGCCCTCTTTCACACACTCCCCAAACCCTCTCGGACACCCCAGCATTCATAGAAGACGGCTGCCTTAACCAGGCTCATGGGCCCTGCAGGACACCCCACCTTCCTATTTGTCTCTGCTCCCACCGCGCTCCCTGTCACCTTTGTAAACCTCACTCTGTGAACGGCCCCCACACCGTTTGGCCTGGACACCATTCCCTCTCTTTTTCTTGTAATTAATGTTCCCGTGGACCTTCAGCTCCCGCATTTCCCTAGGGTCCCTTCCCACCTCGACTTCTCTTCCTCCCAGGCCCAATCCCATATAAATAGGTTCTCAGGATGTGGGACCCCCCAACATGGCACATGCTCACCCACTCCAGCGAGCCCTCCAACCCCTGCTCTTCTGTGCCCCCCTCACCTCCTTTCCCACCCAAGCTCCTCCTGCTCCCTCCGCTGTGTTTCTGTTACATATCCAAGTCCTGCAGATTAGCTCCCTAATATTTGTTGAGCTGGTCCAAAAGTGATCACCTTCAGTGTCCCTCCATTAAGCTGGAACACAAGGCACAGATTCTGGTGCCCTGGGTTCAAATCTCAGATCTGCTCCTGTCTACCCATGTGGCCTGGGCAAGTCACTTACTCTGCGCCTGCGTCTGTACCAGGGGCATGGCAAGTCTGCTTTTCTTGTAGGGTTACGAGGCTGAAATGAGCAAAGTCTGTTTTTGGAAATGACCCAGGACAGGGCCTGACACGTAGTGACCGCACATGTGAATGAAAGTAAACAAATAAGTCTTCAATTTCCTTTTTGATTTCTTCTTTGACCCATGGATGATTTGTAAATGTGTTAGCTTCCAAATATTTGGAGGTTTTCCAGAAATCTTTTAGTTACTGATTTTATTTTATTTGAGAGAGAGAGCATAAGCAGAGCGGGGAGAGGGGCAGAGGGAAGAGGGACAAGCAGACTCCCTGCTGAGCACAGAGCCTAATGCGGGGCTCAATCCCAGGACCCCAAGATTATGACTTGAGCTGAAGTCAGATGCTGAACTGACTGAGCCACCCAGGCGCCCCTTGCTACTGATTTCTAATATTGCTTTTTCTTTTTTCAAAAGATTTTATTTATTAGAGAGCGAGCGAGAGAGAAACAGCATGAGAGGAGAGAGGGTCAGAGGGAGAAGCAGGCTCCCCAATGAGCCGGGAGCCCAATGCAGGACTCGATCCCAGGACTCCAGGATCATGACCTGAGCTGAAGGCAGTCGCTTAACCAACTGAGCCACCCAGGCGCCCCTGATTTCTAATATTTCATCCCATTGTGGTCGAAGAACATATTCTGCATGATTTGAATCCTTTCAGATTTATCGAGAGACTTCTTTTATGGCCCAGATTATGGTGTATACTGGTAAATATTCTGTATACAAAATCATTATGCTGAAGGAAAGATGCCATTGATATAATT